TACCTAACTATCCCGTGCTTACCACGGAACTATATCTTACGGTCACTCAATCGATTCATTCTCTTCATAACTTCGTAAATTCAATGTAGCTACAACCCCTGAATAAATTTATTGCACATTCATGGTGCATGCATGTCAATTTTAAGATGCATCACTATGATATAGGTTTCCTTGACTGAAACCTGATAGCAGGCATCGCAAACGCACGTCAATAATTAATTCTTACTTAGGAAGACTACCAACTCGGAATTCTCATTTACTAATTTATTCAAATATACAAGTAATGGACATAAAAGATTGTACAAAAAGATGAATTGGATTCAAAAGAATGACTGCGAAATTCCACCAATTGTTTATTTCTGGTATTAATTCGTCTCTCCTAGGTAATTGAGAAAAAAAAATCCACTACATGGAAACGATTCCTCGCGGTTATGTATGCTTACTTTGAGCTCTCGTGAAAGTTTCATGACTGGCTCAATAGTTACCACTGTTCGCATGAAGTTGCCACGCTTATTATGTAATGAGCTTCTTCGAATTTATTAATCTCACTGTTCCTCACAAATGTGTTCTAGGAACGAATCACCGACATGTGGAACAGCCTCCCCGATGACATCGTTGGCGCTCCAAGTATGAAAGCGTTCAAGAACAGACTAGATAAAGCTATGGAAAAATATATGTTCAGATTTGAAATGCCTAGCACCATATTGAACCCGGTGGAAGTCTAGTAGCTATTTCAAACTATCGTCAGTCTTGAAAATATCCGGTCAAAAGACCTGTTTTTAGACCGCCTGTGAACAAGTCACGAAATGTACAAGAATCGGCGACAGGCCACATCAGGCCTATTCTTCAGCGCCGACATCACTATGATATATGGTCATTGAAGGCTTCTAGGTACCGTGCTATGAATGCATTAGCTACTAAAACTTGTGATAGCCTTAGGAGGAGCCTTATTGACTTAACTTGATAGGGTGTGCGTTGATTAAATTAATCAAACATATGATATCATTAGAAAATGCAATGCGATTAAGATACCATTCATTGACTTGGGTTGTGAATTGGTTTCTACCGCAGCCTTGTTCCTTGCCTGAGTCGTCGTGTGTGGGGCGATGCTTCCAAGCCCCCATTGCAATGATAATAACATTGCTATTGCCAGTAATTGAGTATAATTTGAGAAGAATTAATAATATGCAAGAATATAAGAGGAATACGAAACGATCAGTGGCGTACTAATCCAATAAAAAAAGATGAATTTGTATTTGAAAAGCCAGGACACGCCCACTGCCCCGCTACCCGTCGTTTCGTGCGCCGCACTAGATCTATGTCTCCAAGCAATAGAAAGAAAAACTTTCTCTTGTCTCTATTAAAGTGCTGCAGCTTGCCGTAGTAGTACCTCAATCGTGTAGCTTGCCCTTCAGTACCACATTCACAATTTTAATATTTCAGTATCACTGACGTCCAGCACAGCTATCTGGAAGAATTCAGTAATTATTCCCATCACTAAGCTCGGGAAACCCAGTGAGAAGCTGATCACACCGCCTCGCTTCTCTCCTTGCTCCAGCTGCTCAAAATCTTAGAACGGTTCCTGCACCCGCACAGCACGTCTTCAAACCGTGTCACCTTCGCCACTCTCCTCCCGCTCGCGCATCATAAAGCGACGGGCTTCAACACGCATCAATCGCCAGGCCGCCGTCCCCTTGCAGTCGCCATCGACCTCATTGAAGACATTCGACAGCATCGACTTCTCTCTTTTCCCCGTGATCGCAGCATCCGACCTTCACCTCAAGTTCGCTGGCTTAGCTATCACCGCTGATGCAGGCTTGAGTCCGGCCTCTACGTCAGAACCCAATCACTCTTAAGTGCAATCTACGCGAGAGTCCCCCAAGTAACAGCGATTTCCCAACTCTTCATTTCATTTCTGACTGTCCTGTTCCGGCTGCGAATATTGCCTCATACGATAACGACATAAACATCTTCGTCTGTTACCCGAGGCTCGACGCTGCGGAGGCGGTGCTTCTTTTGGACATGTCAAGACTAGTCCGCTTCCAAGAAGCAAACCATAACTCCGGGAAAATCCTTGTGTTACTCTTCACTCCTGACACACATAATTCTAATTTACACCCTAATGCCTGATTTCAAACAACCCCATCCTTTTGACGAAGCCATAAAATTCCTGAGATATCCCTACACATTTGCCTCCCATTCCATGGCGCAGCCACAATGGCGATCGGATATTTTCAGATCTCTGGCCGGTACCAAATGGGGCTCCTCAAAGCAAAATAACATCGTCAGTTACCGGACATCACGCGACTAATCATAACTTATGCAGCTCCCAAATGTCTACGAGGCTCCCGCACAGCCGTAGCAAGCCTACAAACGATACAGAATTCATCATTCGGGATAGCAAACGGCTTCTTCAGGATAACCTCAGTCAAAGACCTCCACACCTTGTCTGCTCATCTGGACCAGACCAACATCAATTCCTGGCCAGCACTCTCCGGCCTTGCGATCCCCGAAGACTAACATCCGGTTTAGATGAAACCATAGAATACAGAAGCCTATTCGTACAGGTTTTCACTGTGAACACTTACATTATTATCCTATGTTCATTCTTGTGGCAGGTTGAAACCATAGCATACAGAAGCCTATTCGTACAGGTTTTCACTGTGAACACTTACATTATTATCCTATGTTCATTCTTGTGGCAGGTTGGAGCAGGTTGCCCTCGCGGGCAGACCTGCTTTTACTGTGTGCGTACCCTAAGGGACGATATCAGGCCTGCCAGCTCTCACGAGTAGGCGAAGCAAACTCTCCGCTGAGTGATTTCCGCCCGCGTTTCCAAAGCCGCTGGATTCTACAAGGTCTTTTCTGTCCCCAGAACAAGCTTGGGTTCCTCACCCTCACCGCTGGTCCTACTTCGCTCAGGCCACTGCAGATCCCTAGCATCCTAAACCTTCAGGGATGGACGACCTCTTGGAAGTGTGGTGATCCCCTTCTGTCCACGCAGCATCTTTTCTTTCAACGGCCATCAGCGTCTCGTCTCTGTAGGACAGACTCGGAGAGGCAGAGGCATTTTTAGCTACCGTCCCTGCCTTCGCTCACCTCGCCTCTCTTCCCTGGCTCTCCGGTACAACAAACGGCAAAAAATATAACTCAGTACTCACTGCAGTGAGTGACAGAGAGCCGTCGATGAAAACGTGAAGTCACGGAAAGACGGACGGACATGACGAGCACAATAACGCTTTTTTTTCCATAAATGAGAAAATGCGCTAAAATGGCAGTAAAAATTGAGGTCTTGGCGATGATAAAAAATTTATTTAATAAGAACACACGAGGGCCAGGCGACGCTGTATGGAAACACACAAGCAGAGAACACATCAATCCTTGACCAAAATAAACAATAAAAAACGCAGCCTTTTTTCCGCTGAAAAATAAAAATCAATTTAATAACAAATGAAACAAAATCCGAAAAATATTTGAAATTTTCACTTTTCTGTTGATAAAAAATTTGTTATTAGCAAATATTAGCATAAATTTGAAGCTGCATCACAAATAATTCTAGAAAAAAAACTAAATTCAAGCAAAATTAACTACGAGATAAATTTTTACTATGCAGCAATGAAATGAAAATAAATCCACGCAAGACGAAAAGTTAGCAATACACAAACTGCAGGCCGCGGCACGAACAAAAATAAATGGTCAAAAGCTACCGGAACCAAGACGATGGGTAAATACAAGCTACGTCACAAATGAGCGTTAATTAGGAACCTAATTAATAATTGGCGAGCTGCCAAAAGTTAGCAGCAAATACTTAATGATCTCATTAAGTCTTCACACAATCCGCATTAGAAGAGCATTAGCTCGAGCTCCTACTTAATACATAGTTAAGTAGCAACTCTCTTAGGCAAGTAAAAACTAAATCAGTTATTAGGACGACTAATTTGTTATCAGTTAATGAGATTAACCAACAGATCTCAGTTCAATCAACAAAAGATTAATGACCATTTATCAAGTTAATGAGTTGTTATATCAGATCCCTGCCAATCGCTGAAGTTAATGAGGCGCCTTAACAGATATCAAGTTAACGAGTTACATAATCAGATCGCAGACCAATTAACGAGTCACGAGGAAACTAATTAACTATCAAGATAATGAGTTACATTGTCAAGTAACGAGTCATTAATAGAGGTAATGAGTTGCACGTTAATCAGTACAGCTGCCGACCGCCATCTTTATCAAGTTATTGAAGGACATGTAAATATAACTAAATAATCAGGCTTCGTAATATGGCAACTAATGAGACTCACATTTCCCAATCAGTACCGAATTAAATGATTTAATAGCCAATCAATACCCCCGTGAATCTAAGCATAGCACTAATCAAGTCGGAACAATAATATTGACCAGAGATTACAATCCTCCCGTAACCAACACTCATCATGCAACGGGGAAAGTGTATGAAGACTGCGCACAAAATTCGCACTTGACTCGTTTTTAAAAGTAAGAAACTGTTCGGAGTTGCCAATGTCAAGCCTAGGCGAGTTCTGGTTAGAATGAACGCGTCACATTGTCCGAATAGCCACAATTTCTTGCCAAGAGCGGGCGTATCACTGATACGTCCTTCAGCCAGGCCAAACTGGGTCAGGGTGACCCACACAAAGGGCGAAAATGCAGCGCGTTTTGGACTAAGTCTTCATCGTTACAGAGTGCATCACGCGTACAAATCAAGTGGCAATTAACAAAACTAATTAATCAGATCCGTTAATGAGAGACCTAATTATCCTAAACGTTATCCCTGTCCTCATCTCCAGAGCAATGAATGTTCTCAAATGAACTCGTACGAAATAAATGTTTTAGTGATGAACGTACAAAAATTGTTCATTGCGTAGGTGTACAAGAGAAATATTGTTCTTCGAAATGAAGCTGTTCTCTTATTAATTGTTCAACAAGAAAATTTTCCTTGTAAAAGATCAAAAGTGAACTGCCCTAATATATTTGTTCTAAGAGGTTTAAACATTTGAGAAAAAGTGGGGGAGAATTGCTGTTAGAAACTAAAATGAAATTAAATCGAATTTAATCTCAAGGAAGCAGATGAGTTCAAAAATGAATGATCCTTTTGTCCCAAGAGTGCATCGTATCAAAATTACACATGAAGAAAAACTGTTAATAGCTGAATAAGTGTTCATTCAAAGAATACAAACACATGTATCAATGCATAACATATCTGGAACACAGAATTTCCTACGCATCAGTCAAGCATAAACAAAATTTTTTAGACGAGTCCACCGCGAGTTGAGAAGAAACTGCCGAGGATGTTACATAGGCAGTGAGACAACATATTTTTAGAATTGGTCTGAAGTAAAATAATTTATTTTTCTGCAGGATACGACAGAACACTTTCTGCTCTAAAAAAATCATGGCAAATTCCGTGAGATTTTGTAGGGATTGAATACATTGACCTCAACGACATAAAAAGTTGAAAAATAATAATAAATTTCAGGAATATTGTGAAAAAAGTAGAAATTCACCCAATCAAAAACTGACAATTCAAAGAAAAAAAAATGTACAGAAATTTTACCATGATATTACACAGCAAAGAAAATCATTTTCAGTGATGAGAAACAAGATGTCACCAATGATTGCAACCGAGATCATCGCCATGCAGGTCAGTTCCTACAGACCAAACCGTACAAAGCAATTTTTGAAGAGCATCAATAAGCATAAACACGATGAATTTTGGGAGCCTGTCTGACACTTAACGCAATCCAAGACAGCAACTGAAGCGAGAAGCGTTACAAGCGTCACAATCCTGCACTAACACCATCACTCAAGACAATGAACACGACATTGTCCAAATATTGACACTCTTTAGCCCACAGCTTGAGCAGGGAACATGGGTAGCACTGATACACAATTTGCCAGGCTAAAATGGGTCAAGATTACCCGTGCATCGCGCTTAGGACAAAGCCTCAATCATTGCTCTGAGTGTAGGGCAGTGTGATGACATCTCCACATTGTTTTTAAATTGAACTTTTCCTTTGTTTACACGACAGCTTCACAATATTGAAGAGATTCTTCACAAAGAGATTCTACTAATATTTTTACATTAATGTTATTTTGCTCACAATGACGTTTCCAAGTTGAAAGGAACATTTCTTTCAAAAATTTTCACTTATTTTTCAACTTCCATACATGTTCTAGAAATTAAGATAGTAGCTAAAGCATAAATATCATTATATTATTTCAAAACTGAGATTCGAGAACCGCAACACAAGTTCAACCAAAAACTTGATTGCCGATTTCTTATTTTAATTAATTCATCAAAATCTCAGAAAAAAATTAAATGATTATAATCTCGCATACAATAAAAAAATGTTAGAGCGCTATTGGCATACCTAAATGGCGAGAAAATTAGAAGTTATCATAATTGATATTATTGACTAAATTATAGCTGATCGTGTAGCTGCACCGGTTGATGATGTAACAGCTGCTGTTGCTACTCATGTTGTGCTTGCTGATGTCTGTTGTTAATTGAGTGGCGACCGTTCTATTGAAGCTGTTGAGTTCTGTTGAATCAATGCTTGCTTGCAACTATAGCTGACGTGAAACTGTTGTTGAAGTATCTGCTGTTAGAGGTGCTGTTGGTGATGCTGTTGGTGGTGGTGCTGTAGTTGAAGCATCTGTTGTTGAAGCTGCTGTAGCTGCCGCGGTAGTTTGGTGGTAAGGGAAGTAGTACAAAACCTAGCCCTCTCACATGCTCCCTGCGGAAGAAGACCAAGATAAGCCAGCAGATCCAAAATTAATTCACTAATTTTATACTTAATAGCAAGCTTTAACATCACGATCGGTCATGATGACCGAGCAACTTGAGTTAACGAGGATTATGTTCATAAGGCATGTGTTGAAAAGACACACGTTACGGATGCAAACATAAATAAGGTACAAATTATAGAGACCATTTCAAAGGGCATGTGTTTATGATGTACACGATGTGTGTATACTCTCAGACAAGCAGCAAGAAGTAAGCGGCAGCATCGTGCATCAGATGGCCCAACTGAGGGCATCAGCTGACACAACTGAGAGAATATGCGCAGTAATTACAGACAGAACCCCAGGACCTTTGTGGCGAGGACAAATTGGCGGGGCTGAGGGTGGCAGAATACAGAGGAAGGTAGCGCTTCAGCGTGGCCTGGGACTGCTACATCCAAAACACATACTAAGGATACGACCCAAGTATCCTGCAATACCCTCTCCCACCAGGTGGCCTGTCCTAGTGGCTTATATTGCAATGCCTGACACAGTAGTACCCCCTAGCAGCACTAGGACCTTGCTGGAATCCCACAAGGCTCCGTCATCTCGCCCGTCCTCTTTAACTCCTAATTCTCAGACTTCCCCCATTCCGCCCCCCTAATCACCTCGTATGCGGTAGACTTCACTGCCGCTGCGGGGGCCATGCAGATCGCCGACGCGTCTGCAGTCCTCTCCTCCCACTCCTCCGATGTGGCGGCATGGGCTCGTCAGAAGGGGTTATCGGTGTCTACCCCAAAATCCCACACTACCCTCTTCACCTCCAACACCCATCAATCTCAAACAGACCCTCATGTCAGCTGGGAGGGGTCCAACTTTCCACTTTGTTGAACCCCAAAGATCCTCGGGGTCACTTTTGACCCCCACTTCACCTTCTCGCCTCACATCGCTGCTATATGCCAGAGAGCCCGCCCGCGCCTCAACATCCTCAAATCCATTGCAGGAACCAGCTGGGGACAGCAGAAGGAAACCCTCTTGATGACTTTTAAGGCTCTTATTAAGTCTCTCATCACTTACGCTGCCCAGTGTGGTTCCCTAACGCCTCTCCCTTGGCAATCTCTAAGCTGCAAACTATTCAAAACTTTGCCCTCCGCATAACCACGGAATCTCTTCAAATGGCCTCTGCTTCCCATCTGCAGTTGGCCCCGTACCATGCAGCATGGCCCCATCCCATGAAGCACACGCTTCAGTCCCGCTTCCTCACTTTGGTCTCTCACCTGCTGGAAGAGGGTTCTCTCCCCCCAACACCTACTCCGCTGCCCTCAGCACCCTGCACAGCTCCGCTGTCTCCTCCTACCTGGCCTCAGCAGCTCCCAACAACGTGTTGCTGACCCCTGCCCCCTTCGTCTCGTCCAGCGAGCTATCCCTCCCCAGGGCGGCCAGAAGCACCCTTTCCCAGCTCTGCTCTGGCTACTCATCGCGGCTCAATTCGTACCTTGCCCGCATCAGTGCAGCTAATAGCCCTCTCAGCCCTGAGTGCGGCACAATGGACCACACCACCCATCACCTCTTCAGCTGCCCATCGCATCCCACCTTGCTGACCCCACTGAACCTCTGGTCTAACCCTGGCCCGACTGCAGCTTTCCTCTCTTTGCTCCCATCCTTCACCGACATCCTTGGAGCAGAACCTCCGCTCCCTCCCCCTCCCCCAGAGCCGCCACCTCTGCGGGGGCGCCGCCGAGCAGCGGTCCCAGGCAATTAACAACAACTAGCTGCTCACCCAGCAGCAATGGTAGTTCATGTTGATGAGGTTTACCCCAGTGGTGGGCACAGCTAACCAAAAAGTTAGCTTTGATAACCGATAATCCGCTAACTGAAACGTTAGCCTTTTTAACGCTAAAGCCATAGATGGCAGAAAAATTTAGCTGAATTTACCACTAACTGCTAACTTTTAGTATATCAATTTAGCTTTGGCTTAATTTTTTAGGGGCCTCTAAAGCTCTCAAAAACAGACCTAGAGAGCTGAACTTTTAATAGTATGTTGTAGCATTGACAAGCTTTCCAAAAAGGTGTAGCATGCCAAGATCACATGACGATGAAGATGTACATAAATAATTAAATGAATTAAGCAGTAGTTGACATTAAACATTTAGTTTAATGAACGAATAAGAAAGCATTAAACGAATAAGAAATATTAAGAAATAAAAACACAGGTAAATACAGGGTTACACACTGCTTTTACTCTGCCCTTCATCTCCTCGAGGTGATGATTGTTGCCCTTGATGAACATCAGCCTCTCAATAATGTAAATTATGAACTATTATTTACATTGTTATTATTATTCTCTTGGCCCTCAAGATGTCCTTGCCTATGGAAAACAGGCACTCAACCGCAGCACTGGATAGGATGGCTGTGTTGTACTAAACGAGCAGGTCCATCAACACCTGCTCACTCAAGGAGGCAGCGTCAGTCAGGACCTCCTTTGAGCTGACCTCCAGCCAGGTCAGTGACCTGTGGTTCCTCCTGCACTCCTGGGGCTGAGTGATGCTGCTTCCCCATCCTTGTTCTTGCTGTTGATGCTGCTGCTCTCCTCAATGTTCTCCCTTAGGGCTGTCTCCACGGTCCTCTGTACCTTGCTGAGATGGCTGTGATTATGCTTCTCCAACCAGAACAGGCACAACTTAGGGTGGAAGGCCGCTGCTAGCTGGCTCTCCTCGTCTTCAAGAGCGGCCCAAACTTTTTCATGATGCCTGCCAGCACTGCGTCTACCAGAGGACTGCAGTATAGGAAGCCTAAGCACTTGGCTTTTGTCAACATCATGATGGTAGCTGCTACAGTTGGCAGAAGGTTCCTGAGATAGGCCTGATCCTCACCCTGGATCTTATTCAAGGCCTTGGCGACATTCTACATCACTTGAGCATACAAGACATGATTGGTTAACGTACATATGCTTACATAGTCAGCCATCAGTGTGGCTCACAATTAACAATACTTGGCATCAACTATTAACACCCAAATTTTCTATCAGAAGAGATTTAGAAACATTATTAGCAGATTGCCAGTTAGCGGAACTAAATTTAGTGGAAGCTAATTGGTCGGCTGATGGTTTTCAAAGTTAGCTGAAAAGCTAATCTAATAAGGAAAAGTTAGTTTCGCTAATTAGTGGTTAGTGGTTTAGCAGAACTGTGCCCAACCCTGGTTCTCCCCCCAGACTCTGCACTATAGCTGCCACCTAGCAACACTAGTAGCTCACCTAGCAGCACTAGTAGCTCACCTAGCAGCACTAGTAGCTCACCTAGCAGCACTAGTAGCTCACCTAGCAGCACTAGTAGTTTCGACAGTGTCGACCACCCCCTCCTCCTGAGCATGATCGCGGCCTCGGACCTAAATCACAACCTGGTCCGCTGGCTGTGCTGCTAACTCCGAGGCAGGCAGGCATCTTGCCTCTATCTCAGAACCCAATAACCTTTCAGAGCCATTCACTCAGGCGTTCCCCAGGGCTCGGTGATCTCGCCAGCCCTCTTTAACCACTTCATTTCCGACATCCCAGTGCCTACCCCCAATATTGCCTCATACGCGGACGACCTTATACCATCTTCGTGTCGTCCCGAGACTCGACGATGCGGAGGCCGAGCTTGCCTCGCTCCTTCGTAACGTCTCAGACTGGTCGGCAGTCAAGAAACTGGCCGTGGCTCCTGGCAAGTCCTCGGTCACGCTCTTCACCCCAGATACGCACCAATCCCGATACCACCCATCTGCCACCATCTGCAACGGCATCATCCCATTGGACAAAACCCCCAAAATCTTAGGCATCACCTGGGATACACACTTCACCTTCTCCCCTCATGCAAGAGCCATGGCCACGAAAGCGACGGGTTCTCTCCGCATATTAATAGCCCTTGCTGGCACCAACTGGGGCTTCTGCAAGGAGGACATAGTTGCCACCTACCGTGCCATCACGCGCCCAATTCTCAATTCCGCGGCCCCCATCTGGTACCCTGTTGCCTCCCGTACAGCAGTTGCCAGCCTGCAGACTATACAGAATACTGCACTGAGACTAGCCAACGGCTGCCTCAAAATGGCCCCGATCTCCCATCTGCACCAGGAGACCGGCGTCTTCTCTTTGACCGAGCACCTGGACCTGGCCTGCGCCCAGTTCCTCGCCAGCGCCTTCCAGCCCTCCCATGCCTCCTTTCGCATGGTTTCTGCCCCTCTGTGTGACCGCCCTATGAAAGCCTTGTTACAGTCGAGGTTCGGCCATCTTGTCACACCATTCTTGACAAATGGTATCCTGCCTGCCGGGACATACGGAGAAGCCAAGCAGTCTCTCCGCAGGGAGATCACCTCCCGCGTGGCGGCGACTGCCGCCATAAATGCAGTCCTTGCTGCCCCGCCGCCGCCGATTGCTTCAGTGGAGACCTCACTCCCTCGCCCCTACCGCTCAGCGCTATCCCAGCTCCGCTCGGGATACTGCAGCTCCCTGGCGTCCTATTCCGCGAGGATCGGACGCTCCCCTAGCTCCGCCTGCCCGGAGTGCGGGGATCCCCTCCAATCCGTTCAGCACCTCTTTGTATGCCCCGCCTTCCCCACGTCTCTCAGCGTCTCCTCACTGTGGGACAGCCCCGTGGAGGTAGTGGCTTTCCTGGCCACCCACGCTGCCTTCGCCCAACTCCCTCCTCTTCCGGTTCTGGCCCCCTGCCTGCCACCAGAGCCTCCCCCCCGGCGAGCGTGACGGTCGCAACCAACAACAACAACAACAACCTAGCAGCACCAGCAACTCACCTAGCAGCACCAGCAGCTCACCTAGCAGCACCAGCAGCTCACCTAGCAGCACCAGCAGCTCACCTAGCAGCACCAGCAGCTCACCTAGCAGCACTAGCAGCTCACCTAGCAGCACTAGTAGCTCATGTTGATGAGATACTCCCCCAGACTCTCGACTATAGCCGCCACCTGAGGGTGCTGGACAGGCTCACGGAACACGGCCACCAGCACAGCCTGCAGCGTCTTCATGGCGTGCACGCCTGACTTGCCCTTCTTGCAGCGGATCACCTGCACCAACACGTCTTTGTTATTACACGGGAATTAGTTTTAAAATTATGATTATTGTCTCATATTTAAATGCAAGTTATGATCAACTGCTGCAACATAGACTTATTATTACATGGGCATTGATGGTTTTACAATTATGATTGTATTATATTTAAATGCGTATCAAGATCAACCGCAACAACACGTCTTTATTATCACATGGAAATGGGTGATTTTAAAATTATGATTATTGTCTTATATTTAAATGTGAATGGAGATCAACTGCAGCATCAGACTTATTATTATGTAGACATTGATTTTAAAATTCTTATATAACTATGGCCTCATATTAATACCTTTGTGGATCAATATTCCATGCAGCAACACAGCTTTATTATTATGTGGGAATTGATAGGTACCGTAATCAATGAAGAAAGTGATTAATATCACATCATTAATATCATAATGTATAAGTGATATGAAAATATATTATTACTAGGCCTTTCAATGAAAATTATTGCCATAATTTACATGCGAATCAAGATCATCAGCAACCACATAGTACTATACTTTTATGGAAACAAACAATATAAGAATGAAGATTTGCTGATACAGCCCGACGCAAAAGGTTAGCCCCACCCCTTTAAAACATCATAACACATCGAGTTTTGCCAGTTTTAACGTGCAAATGGTGGCAAACAATTTGTCTTGCGCTCTGCAATCTATAGCAGGTGAAATTTGGTGAAAAAGTTAATTACTGGCGGAAAAATCAAGCGGTCCGTGCTTTTGCACCGACGCAAAAGGTTAGCCCCACTTTGCAAGTTTGGCGCTCTTGCAGACAGGACGCAGCGTAGACTCGCTGCAAAGGGTGCGTTCATAGCGTAGTAGTTGTGCACGGATCTTATGCTCACCTAGGCAGGAGATGGGCGCGGGAAAGCCTCTAACCGAGTTTCAGAAAGGTGCCATTCAAGCCCTGATGGCGCTGCCTGAGGGCGAGCGTCCTAGCCTGCGTCAAACGGAGGCACAAGTGGGGTGTAGCCACAAAGCCATCTCCAGCTATCTCTAGGACCCCGTGAACTACGGAAAGCGGCACACCAAAGGCCGCCCCAAGAAGATGTCGGACCGTGACACGCGTCGCCTCGTCCGAGTTGCGGCGCCCGGCGACTTGAGCGCGCCCAAACTAGTCCAAAAGTTGGAGCTCAATGTCTCCAAGTCCACCGTCTCTCGCACCCTCGCGTCCTCCGGCATCTTCCAATGCGTGAAGATGAACAAGGCCCCCCAATTGACCGAGGCTCACAAGCATGCCAGTGTCGCCTGGAGCACAAAGTATGCAAGTACTAGTGATGACACCTGGGCCAAAACCATCTTCTCTGATGAGAAGAAATTGAACTTGGATGGCCCAGATGGTCTGAAGTACTTACTGGCATTGCCGCAGGAATGATCCAAAGGAAGCTTTTAGCCGCCAAAATGGCGGGGGCAGTGTAATGGTGTAGGGGGCCTTTCATGCAAACGTGACGAGCGAGCTCGTCTTCCTCGAACGCAACCAGTGCGCGGACGACTATGTCCAAACGCTCGAGGTCCATCAACTTCCCGTCATCCGCCACCAAATTCGCCGCGGCGCTATCTTCCAACAAGATAATGCCTCAATCCATACGGCGCGCACGACCAAGGCCTTCTTCAAGCGTGCCAAAATCCGGGTTATAGACTGGCCAGCCAAGTCCCCCGATCTGAATCCCATTGAGAACGTCTGGAGGTACATGGCTGGGATCGTCTACGCCTGCGTGAAGCAGTATGACACGAAGGAAGAACTCGAGTTGGCCATTCAAGCCGCCTGGTCCAATCTGGACCCCAACTACGTCCGTAGATTGTCTCAGGGCATGAAAAAGCGGTGCTTGGATGTCTACAAAGCCAACGGAGAGCATATAGGTAAATAACCTTTAGTTTTGCAGCTGACGTATGTTTTGTTTTGCCTAAAATGTCAAAGTGTACAAAGTGGTGCTAACCTTTTGCGTCGGAGCAAAAACATATGTTTTTCATTTTCTCCGTTGCTAATTATACTTTCACTACAGTCTATTACATTTTGATTACTGAGACCAAGACGATTCGTTTGCCACCATTTGCACAATAAAACTCGCAAAACTCGATGTGTTAAGATGTTTTAAAGGGGTGGGGGCTAACCTTTTGCGTCGGGCTGTAAATCAACTATACAAAGAACAAAAATACAGCCTTACCTTCACAAACAATTAGGTATAAATATAAGAACAATGTGTCATTATTTATTTTATGAGCATGGAAGTTATTGACATACAAAATACTTTAAAATATTTCTTTGATTTTAAAATAATGTTGCACATACTTGGAGATTTTTCAAATCTACAAGAAATATGACTATGAGAAACCTGAATAATATTTATATTTTCCAGATGAAGAAGAAATAAAATGAACTATATTTTCATTGAAAATATCTAAGTAAATATATATACATGCAATCCCAACATGGAAATGTGATTAACTTGAACTCCGCCGGAGCTTGCTTACAAATGTAACATGGAACTGAATACACAACAATAAATGAGTGTGAACTTATTATCCTAAAATGAATCTGCTGCATCTGGTGTTAACATGAAGATAAAGCCCAGACTTGGTGACAGTTACCAGTACAAAATTTCTGCAAGAATGTGAGATTGTGCAACCCTCATACAAAAACTGAGTTATTACACATAAATGTGAGATTTTGTGAAATGTATGCAAAAATTTAGTCCCATGAGAAGATATCAAGACTGTATTCATAACTATCAACAGTTGGTAGTGGAGGCATGGGTTATCTCGAGAGTTAATCTAACTATCACCCACTCACCCTATCAGTGCCTTAGAGGTAGAAGTACTCTCACCCACTCACCCTATCAGTGCCGGAGAGGTAGAAGTACTTCTCGCCCACTCACCCTATCAGTGCTGGAGAGGTAGAAGTACTTCTCACCCACTCACCCTATCAGTGCTGGAGAGGTAGATCACCCACTCACCCTATCAGTGCCGGAGAGGTAGAAGTACTCTCACCCACTCACCCTATCAGTGCCGGAGAGGTAGAAGTACTCTCACCCACTCACCCTATCAGTGCTGGAGAGGTAGATCACCCACTCACCCTATCAGTGCCAGAGAGGTAGAAGTACTCTTCTATCAGTGCCGGAGAGGTAGAAGTACTCTTGCCCACTCACCCTATCAGTGCCAGAGAGGTAGAAGTACTTCTCACCCACTCACCCTATCAGTGCTGGAGAGGTAGATCGCCCACTCACCCTATCAGTGCCGGAGAGGTAGAAGTACTCTCACCCACTCACCCTATCAGTGCCGGAGAGGTAGAAGTACTTCTCACCACCAATCACCACCCCTGTCATGGCCAGCTGGGCTTGGTCCGGAAAACTTGATGACAGCTTAGATAACTCTTCTTGTGATGGCTGCACAGAAACAAAAATATATAGTTCTATACATACAGCTGCTATACACATGTTAATACAGCTGCTATACAGGTGTTAATACAGCTGCTATACAGGTGTTAATATAGCTGCTATACAGGTGTTAATACAGCTGCTATACATATGCTCAAGCACTGGAAGTAGGCTAAAACATGGAACTATAGCAACAGTTATTTCTACAACATTAACAGCAACACAATTCTTGAACACACAGCTACTGTGTGCTCAATTAATTACAATTATTAAATTAAATACAGCTGAGAGGACAAATAAACATGCATGGAAGTAGGAATGAATGAACTAATACATCAATTAAGGGGACCGTCTCGCCTAAAATTTTCAATTTTGGCGTTTTCCAGTTTTTGTGCTCATCTGGAAGCTGGAATTCTGCTCTTTCCAATGGTACCACTGCCATCGCTGTATGCCAATATTTACGTTCATGACATCTCTTTAAAGGGAAGCGGGTAGGAGAGTTCTTCAACTAATTAGATATAAAGTAATTAGCTGCTGAAATCTTTGAATATAGTTTCTACTTGAGTTGTGCTGCAGTTACATGCTTAGTCTCATCTTAAAGCTAACATTCTGAGCTTTTCAACGATACCACTGCGATCCTTGTACGTCAATATTGACGCACACGGCCGGGCTTTAAATGGGGGCGGGGGGTGGAGTTCCTACACTAAATAGACCTAAGAAAATTAGAGCGGCAAGACTACATATATTGGTGTATCTGGCATCTGAGCTCAGTCACCCTCCTAACATTGTACGTAGAGGTGCGCTACAAGTTGCTGCTATCATCCTTGAGTGGATTAAGCTACAGAAGCCTGTAGTTCGGTATCCATGCTACATTGAGTGCCTATTTCAAGACGCGCGGGACTTTGTCGCGCCGTCCTGAAAAGTTCAACTTATTGTCACGGAAAACCTATCTCCTCCCACAGTTTTCAAGCTACAGCAATGGGAGATATATCATTCGATTTGCAAGGAATAGCTCTACAAACTGCGTGTATAGTTTTTCCGATTTCATTATAGTTTGGATTATATATTGGAAAAGGGGGGAGGGGGGGAAAATTTTGTTTTTTTTCTTTAAATCCCCCTCCATCAGGAACAAATTCGAAATTGAAAAAACTGAACACGTGAACGCTAGATATGGTCTTTACGGATCGAATGACATGTGTCTCGACCTTGTAGCATATATACTGTAGGAGGAGATAGATTTCTAAAGTACCCCTTTATTTCTTCGTTTTCTATTAATTTCATGTTTTCTTTCATTTTTTTTTTTTTAAATTCACACAAACAAAAACAATTTTGTTTTACATTTTACATATGTGTACCCAATTTCAGAATGATCCGCCCAAAGGTATACGATTTATTATTTGCGCGAGACGGTCCCCTTAAATTGAATCTGATGACTTGAAGCTTGACCTTCCCTTGATAACTTGGCCGAAATTTTTGTGTTGAGCTTGAGACGAAGATGGATCAATAAATGAACAAATGCAGCAACAGTTCACCCCTGCAGCAACAATGTCCTGGCATACAGCTGCTGTGTCAATGCTTGCTGCCAGCAACATGTCTAGCATGACAATGCTTGCTGCCAGCAACATGTCTAGCATGACAATGCTTGTTGCCAGCAACATGTCTAACATGACAATGCTTGTTGCCAGCAACATGTGTAGCTTGACAATGCTTTAATTTTGTCAATATATTGCTAGAACTGTATGTGGTTAGACAGTTTTAAAAATCAAAATACTTGTCTCTAGGAACTTTAATTGCAATTTTTAGTTTGAAATCCATGTAGGAATATGACAAAACTGTCTTGATCACACACTTTATGCAATCAGAAAAGTTTGTGATACTTTTCAAATAATGATGTACTTATTTACTTTGAGTGGATCATGCTGACCTGGTTTGTCCCAGAAAAATGGCATAACATTGCTATGTCTGCTAACTTAGTTCAATTATTTATAGATAACTACTACCTATTGCTTGAATTCACAAAGCTGAGAATAGCAAGATTTGAAGGCTGTCTCAGCCTCTTCATATTTTTCTGTCAGATAATAAAATACCAAAATATGAGACCTGCAACTAAATTCTAATCCATACGATTTTACCAAATATAGAAACTTTTATACCAGTCCACTTTGATTGGTCTCTTGTTACAAACTGTAAAAAGACTAGGCAAGCACATTCATAACATTTTTCATCTCTAAGCATAATGCTCAAAACTTGTTCATGTACTTAGCAGCCAATTTCTCATCATGACTGATAAGTTTAACTTGAGAAGTCATCACAGTCACAAAATTTAAGCTATTATTGATATGGCGGCTGGAATGTACAGATGATCATACAATATTAAATGACTGCTTTTCTCCTCCCTCAGACTGCAGCATAACAGAGCTGAATGACTGAATGCAAATTATTTCTTATTTGCTTTGTCTTCAGACAACATGATTAATTTTTATATTTTCCACTCTTTGTTTCAGTCCTAAATTTCTATATTAAGGTGAATTTTTAAAATAACTAGAAACTTGAAAAACAGTAAAAACACTGTTCAAAAGATTCCCATTAGAAAGTTTCCATTCAAGAATGATGCAGTAGTTGCTAAAATTTTCACATAACAATGAAGAAGCTAGAGAATATCCCCAAAGTGGTTGCTGTTCATGTACATCCTGAACTGCAGAGAGAAGCTAAAGTTAGATTGATTCCAACCATAAAACATTCAGCAGCAATATACAATTGACTAAGCCAGAGTTTGTTTAATGCACAATCATTTATAAATACCGTATGTCTTCTTACTTGGGCAGTGTACATGCCTGGCTCTCAGGACAAGCATAGAAGATGTGTTTACCATCTCCTTTCTTAATATTGATATAACTCAATATTACACAGTGGAAGGATAAGATAGGCACAGGATTGGAATTTTTCTCCATACTATTGAAACATCACAACTCTAAAGTGATAAATTTTCAATACATTTGGAGACTTGCAGTCCAATTACATACTTTTGCTAACAATTAGATAGGAGGCAATTCTAGCAGTAATCTCATGGCTCCTAAAATGGCAAAAAAATCTATAGTAATGGCCCAAAAGGCAGATATATTATACACCAGGATATGCATTTACAGATTATTTCAATTTCAATCAGAGCAATATAAATTTCTGACACATGTCAGGAAGTAAATGAATGAAAAACAAATGTGACATGGATGAAAGGTCTTATTTGGGTATAAGTTGGTTATGATTCAATCATACACAACTGGAGGGTGTGATTTAGATGCAGGGTTTCCAGGACTATATATAAGATTGAAATTAAATTAGAAGATCAGAATCAACCTTTCATGCCTTGCTTCAACTCTAGAGTTCAGTCATAAAAACTTTGTCATTTAAAAAGCAATTAAAGTCATTAACACTTGATTATTTTATAAAAGATTCTATTCAGTATTTGAATTCAAAGATAACAAAACACACACAAAATAGATACACATGTTCAAACAATTAGGATTAGAACCTAACAATTTTTGTTATCCTATCAGTTGATGAATCACCTAATCCAATTAGGATTGGGTAATCAATTTTGGCAATTGATGCACAGCTTCTTGTAGGTTCTCATCTTATGGATGCTTAGTCAGTTGTCCAGGGTTCATCCTGGTATTTACACAAAAAAATTCCATGACTTTTCCATGACTCTCTCTTTTATTCATTACAATTTTACAGCAATATTTATACACAGTAATTGCCCAGCTTGCAACACATAAAATTTAAACAAAAGGAGTCAAAGAACAATGGCAGTGGCCAAGTGAATTGACAATCCAATCACTTAGAATTGACCAAGTCCTGCTGTGAGCCTGTGACTATTGAAAATGTGTGGTTTCTTAACTTGCTTCATGCATAATAGATAGTAAAAATGTTGAAGTTTATGCCACTATTTTTAGTTTTACAATATTTCAATTAGTTAGGCTGCTCCAACATTTGTATGAAATGTCAGAGGACTGTCCCAATTTACCCCCGCCCATCCCTTATTACCCTGTTTGACAGTAGTGCCCGGCATCGGGCATGGAATATATCTCCCTGCCCAGCCACAAATAAAGCTTCCCTGAAAAAAATGACCATTTTTGGAGCTGCAAGAATGTTGCTAGATATATTATCTCCCATCTTATTATTGACATAAGTTCTTTACCAGTATATGAAATTCAAAATTTATTCAAACTCATCACTTTGTAGCCAAAATTCCCGTGATAAGAATACTAATCCTAATCCCGTCCTGCATCAAGGCATTTGCCATCAGCTTTAATAAGATGACATAAGTGACTCAAGTCAATTTGATACTGAAAAATAGTTTGAAATATCTCAGCAGACCTAAAAGTTGATATTATCAACTAAACAAATTCTAGACTTGAAAGAATGTAAAACATCATTAGCAATACAAAAATATTTTGAATTTATTAAAAACAAATTTAAAGCATTTATTGGTGAAATATTGAATTGCCCTTAACCTAACGGGAAATTTCACAGATGTACTAATTTTCCTACTTGGAACAGAATTGGGCTCAAGCATACAATGACCAATTTAGGACAATTATCAATGTCTTCCAAGAGAATTGATTCATTTTCTAGATATTCACTTTATTCCTTCTAATTTAGAAGGTTTTAGTACTTTTAGTATGTAGTCTTTACTGCCATGTAATACTTTGTTGTTGATGCTCAACATAGCTGATGTTTTTGACACTTCCTGTTTATTTAAAATTGTGGAGATATGGCTGCTCTATTTGGTGGTAAGCATGGTACAATTCTATAATTAATATGAAAGAACATAGTATTTTGAGATTTCGGACAAATCAACTGACCATTCCACAGCACCCTAGCACCATCCCTTAACAAGACACTTGTACTAAGTAAACAAAAGACACCACCAGCCAACAACAATTCAACTAACAAGAAATTTGACTTTTTTCAAAATAAAAGTAGGTATTGAAGTCAGGTTTTGTATCATCAAATGCCTAAAAAATATCAAATATAAATATCACTTGACAACTGAGCGCTCCAACTTAAGAGCGCTCAGTTTTGGAGTGAATTTTATAGCCAAATTAAAATTTATTTAGCAAGTATTTATAACAAGACAGATACTTAGAAGATTCTCAATGTTAACAGCATTGAAGACTTGAAGTCCATGCAAAAATGTAAATTTTCAGTACTTTTTGACTGAATTAGGCTCCTAAAGACTTGAAACCACACTTAGAGGCTTTTTGCCTTCAATATTCTCAGCTGCTGGCACAGCTTGCAGCCAATGCTGACCCACCCATTCTTGACCAATACAATTTGTTTTGATGGATAGCCCATCAAGGACAAAAGTACCTTGAATTATTGATTGCTAATTTTGGACACTAGGTGCATGTTCATGCTAAAATTCAACTTAAAAGTTGTACTTGTATCCCCATATTTTTATGATTTGTTACCAGTGAAATTCATCACTTGAATTCTCCATTAATATTCTGTATTAACCAAGTTTTCAATGAAAAGTTTTCTAAAAACTGCAGCCATGAGAAAAAAAATTATACAAAAACTAACGGATTAACATTTAATATCAAGATTAAAATTTAATAAATTCAAGATTTCAGCACCAGCAGTGGCAAGCAAATGAACTATTTACTTGTATTGATTGTTAGACTAATGAGATAATAATATCATATTCTGTTCAGGCAGTCTCTTAGAAGTGTTCCAGCAACATATTTCCCATTACTATTCATTTATTCATGGTGCACAAAATTGTTTCATGTAATGTCACAGGCAATGGCCCATGTAGGCACATATGACCTTACCACAAGCACTTTGCCAGGACCAATAAGTACCACCAATCAGGCATGGAATATATCTACTTGGTGAACTGGGACTGGATTCTTCAAATGGTGGTTTTATGGATTTGCAAGCTGTGATTTCATTTCATCAAGCCGTGAATTCCATATCTCAGCCATCATCAGCCATGAAGAGCCATTTACATGCCGAAAACTTTTTTACAAAGTCCTAGGCCATGGTGGAACTTTAGAAACGGTCATTTAGATCCATGAGGATCCCCCGGCCCGCTCCAATACAAGCAGGCCAACAGCAGCGGCAGTGCACTTGTATTAAAGTGCGCACTCGTTCCATTGCTATTGTAGCTGTAGCAGAACGAGGGCACTGCCACTGCTGCTGGCCTGCTAGTGTAGGAGAGGAGCGCGCGGTCATCTTGCTTCTATTAGAGCAAGCACTCCTATTATTGGCCACCAAGCTCAATTACATAGGTACATGGTCATTTAGAACTTAGAAGGCATTTTGAATGCCACCATGTCCTGAGCAAATGTTGACCCAAATCTCTAATTTTACCCTAAAAACAACAGTCTAACAGCAACAATAACATTTGTCTTTACTTTAGTGGCAAAAGAACATGTGATAATGCAGTTGGACCACTCTGACGTGGCTGCAACTATGCAATCTTCAATGAAACATTTTGGGTTAACTTGTTATCATTACATCCTGCAGGATATCTTGGGGGTTGCATTGACGTACTGCAGATTGCTGAAGTTGAAACTTTTAGGGAATGGCATGTTATAAAATGCAAACCATGATTTTTTCAATCAAACAAAAATGCATGACATTAGAGCCATGAGATTTCATACCTAGGGTAAACACACCATATTCCAAAACCTCAAGGACATAGCAAGAAATAAATGGCTATAAATAGATCACCATATGCGCAACTCGAGTTCCGATTGGTTTACGTCACTCTCAAAACACCACACTATGCGGTATGCGCCAGCAATGATGAAACGTCACAAACTGTTGCCTTATTTATTTAAAAGCCTTTAGAATTCAAATCTACAAAATCGTTGAATTCCGACACTGTGTGTGACTAAATGCGGCATATTGTGAGGCTAATTCCAACAGTGCTTAAAAAATGTAATTCATAATTCCGACACACTGTGTTGGAATTTCGACACCCTGTGTGAGCTGTGTCAGAATACGACACCCTGTGTAAGCTGTGTTGGAATACAACACCCTGTGTAAGCTGTGTTGGAATACAACACCCTGTGTAAGCTGTGTTGGAATACAACACCCCGTGTCATGGCTGTGTCATAATTCTGACACCATGTCAGAATTAGTTTTTCGTGTCTAAAACCGTCTCTTAAATCAATCATCTATTAATTTATTTACCACTTAAAATCAGCAAATACAAGTATACTTAGAGGATTTCTAATATATTCACAGACTTATTTAAGTCTCAAACCATAATATTCTTTCTACACAAACAGTTCATCACTATTTAGTAAAGCAAGGTCAACTATCAACTTTCATACATGTTTTGATGTTCTCACTAGTTGACTTCCAGGGTGCAGAAGGTGGAAGCAGCATCACCAATATATGGGTTTTCAAGCCCAAAGCGTCGCCAACCATTTTCAAGATGTGTCGCCGGGCAATTTTTAATGAAAAGCCATTTAGGCTGAGTAATGAAAAACTATTTACAAGCCACATACTTATTTGCAAGGTTGCATGCATGTGTTACCCCAAATAACTAATTTTACCCTAAAAACAGTCCGATTGTACAGCAAGTGTCAAATGAACATGTGATGATGCAGTCTGACCGCTCTAATGTGACCACAACTACATTTTGTTTACATTTTTTTTTGGCAGGAACTCATCGCAACCGATTTCCGGACAAACTTTACTGCATCCCGATCCATCCAATGTACCGGAAACCTTACTTTTTTCTAAATAGTTGGCCAAAGACTGAAAAATGTATTAGATGCAAGAATTTCAATCTAAATGTGTCGGCAAGATCTTCTGAAGGCGTAAATTTTGCTACTGAAGCGTCGCCAAAGATCCTGCAATATTCATCCACTATCTGCATAGTGGGTTGACTTGGACTTTCACTCTGATGATCTCAACATTTTCCCGCTAGACCTAGTGTTTAGCGGAAATCTGGTGCGCACTAGTATGATGTCACTATTTCAACCATCTACGCACGTGTGGAACTAAGACCAAGCTTAATATGAAGGGAAAAGTTCAGGGAATACCAAATTCCGACCCACAGTGTCAGAATATGGTGCATTTACCCTACTCAAATAATGAGATATTAGAATTAGAGCTGCAATATTTCAGAAAAAAGAAGGAGTTTTCCAGCCCTGTAGACTAGGATTGCATCATGTTCTCTGCGTCTGCAATTGGAAGTGGTTCAAGTCTTATTTACAGATGGCTACTGCCAAATTTTCCAATTTGGCAAGCAATGACCATTTGCATTGTTGGTTTTACAAAATAGGGTAAACGCGGTATATTCCGACACATTAAGGACGCATCGAGAAATGAAAAACTATAAAAAAAAACATATGCGTTATGCAAGTTCTATTGCCTTCAAGTGACTCTCAAAACACTTCACTACGCGTCAGCAACGATGAAACATCACAAAATGTTGCCATATTTATTAAAAAGCCTTTAGAATGGAAACCTACCAAATCCCTATATTCCGTCACTGTGTGTGGCAATATTCTACACGTGGTGAGTTGTATTGCGTCAGCGCTTCAAATTTAACTGATACGTAATGCCGACATCAACGTATTCGAATTCCGTTCGCTGTGTGAGCTGTATTGGGATACAACACTGCTTTGAATTAGAACACTAACAAATATTGAACACTACTTAATTACGTTTTAATTAACAGCTATTAGGCTTTTAATTAAGCAAATTTCAATTTTTGTACAAAGCTTGGAACAATCTGTGTGTGTCCAATTCAAGTTGTGTCGGAATTAGTTTTGATGGGTCTATAGTATACTTAAAGGATTCCTAATACATTCACAGACGTATTTAAAAGTCTCAAACCATAATATTCTTCATATAAAAACAGTTATTCACTACTTGGTAGAGCAAGGTCAACTGTCAAATTTGACACATTTTTCGATGAGCTCACCAGGTGGCATGCATTGTCTCTCTTTGGATCTCAATATTTTCCCTCTAGATGGCCAAGACCTAGTGTTTTGGCAGTATTTCGACACGCAAATGTATGACGTCACCATTTCAACCATCAATGAACGCATGGAACTAAAACAAAGCTTAATATAAAGGAAAAACTAGAGAGGTGACGGAATTACCTACGATGTCGGAATATACCGCCTTTACCCTAATTGCCTGCTTTACCAATTTGGCTTCAAATCAAAGCAAGTTGCATCAACAGTTTGTTAGATCAAGAACTTCTAAAACAAAGAGAATTTATAAATTGATCACATCAACATCATCAGACATTTAGGTATATCATAAATGCCATGTTAGTCAGAAAAAATAATAAAACTCAAATTACCATTCTGAAATAATTTTCATCATACTACCAAGAAATTTGTCTTGTGTATCCAAGAGAATTACCTTTCTTTATGCTTAGAAATTATTTCACCAGCTAGAACTCATTGCACAGCAATAAAAAGTTTGGAAATTTTTTTCTTTTCATCTTGTTCATCAACATGACTCATTGAAAATAGGTGGGTCAAGGTTGGAACAGCTGAGCTGAGCAGTGAAAGTGACCAGCAAGCAGGAAATGATCTCCTTCTCATTTATTTATATAAACTTCAGGATTTACAAATAAAGTGAAGCCATTTTGTTCAAAGATAAAAGACATTATAATAGGAGCACGGCAAGCATCTTACCTATTCAGAAATGTACAAATGTCATGCAATGTACCGGTAACAAAAGGTGTAAACTTACGGAAATATTTTCACTTTTGGCCCATAATGTGCCATCGTGTCCAGCAATTATTGCTTTCTCTACAAGCCCAGAGCCCATAAGTTGTTCGTCTATGTATGTTTGCCACGACATTGTGTTTATTTAAAGTGATAAGGTTTTCTGGACTAAAATTCACTAATGAGGATCACTTTCGTGCATGGGAGAGGCCTGTCAGACAGCGTGTAAGTGTATCCCTCCGCCAGGCTTGCCATCGATAGAAATAGTGCCATAGCGCAGACGGCGTTAAATTATTTTTTGCTATTTAAAATTTCTTTTCGATAAGTACCAGATTTCATGAAGAATTAAGGTATATTACAGAGAAATTTCACTGTTATCATATTTATTAATCCATATTTTTGATCATTGATAGTTCAATGACGATTGACGTGCAATGCCTACCACGTAAATCATGGTTTATTAGTAGTTATATTTTCCAGAAGCAAACAGGTTTCATAATCGAAGTAATTTATCTAATAATTGATGAATTGTATATGAAATAAAATAATGACGCGTGATTTACGCCAATGTGCTGAATGGCAGACACAGCGGTGCAAATCGAATATGACTCATATTGATAAGAGACCGAAGCTAATATAGAATTATATCAGCCAATACTAAATATTATTAGCAAATAACTAAATATATAGCAGGATTGAGTCATAAAATTCATATATTTTTATCCGAATTGATTAGATATGCTTGCACTAGCTTCTTTTGCGCAATAACAAAGTCTGGTTTGCAAAACGTTGGCGGAGGCGATTTAGATGAAATTTATCTATACAGTTTTAACTGATTTTTAGTTTAATTAACTAATTTCAATCATAACAACAGTAATAAGCTACAAACATGAAAAAATCGAATTTAACAGTGCAATGCCGTAAGCTGTCGATTCTGGTGGCTGCCTGCGGTATATTAAACTTTCTTAAATTTGTCGATTCGCAAGCATTGGTTAGACGTTAGATGATTAAAGATGTATCTTTGAATGTCCAATGCTCCGTGATGAGTACCTTTTACAAAATTTCAGCCCATCTGTTTTCAATAGGAACAGTAATCTTGCCAACTAATCCCGGCCTCTACTTGGTCAATTCGATCGGATCGTCACTTCTCCAAACCCACCGGCGAAAACACTGAGCAATCGGTCTATAATTCTTCAAGTTCTTCTTGCTCGTGTGCCCTCGTTTGTGCAGTAATATTACTCGGTTTTCATTTCACGCATCAGGTACACACTCATTTGTCCACACAACTTTAAATGGATCAGTCAGTCTGCTAATTGCACTCTCACCTCCATGTTTATACATCTCACATGGTATCTCCTTCATTACAGCTGCCTTATTTTTTTAAGTTTTTCTACCCCATGTTTCCCTTCCTCATTTGTAATTTCCTCATCTATACCACACACTTCTTTGCGTTCTAATGAAACAAAATTTTCCCGTGCGTAAATGTTCTTCATATCCACAGTGGGTCTCGGGTATGGTCAGACCCAGGTCATCTGAGGTCATACCCAGTCATCTGGGTATGGTTATGAGTGGTTGCAGTTCAGAGGATCGGGATTGGAGCAGAGAAGTGCGGGTTCGATCCTAGCGTAAACGCCAGTATCTTGTCGAAATCAGCGACGAAACCGGGCGGTTAAGCACAACAGAATTAGCGCACTGATTTGCGTTTTCGAGACTGTAACAAGCTGTGAATGTTCTGTGATGTTAAGAAACGGTAACAAACCAATGGCCTAATAAATGCTGAAACCGCTATACGTATATATATTGGTAATTTTTCCAAGACACGCTGCCATCAGCCAAGTTCATATTTAGATTCTCTAGGTTATTCTCAAACAAAAAAACATGCAACAGCTTTCCATTCTTATTCACTGGTTCACCTAGAATATCTCCATGCCCGATCACGTCCCCAGGCACTACAATCGTCTCGTTTCTTTCGTTACACATTCGTACATTGATTAGTTCTCTCCACCTAATCAATTCATGTGGTTAGGATCCAGGGAGACGAAGTGATGGATAGGCAGCTAGCTACCCAAGCCAATCAAGAAGTAGCATGCACAAGATTAATGTAGCGGTAGCGCACGAATTAAATTTCGTATATATGTATGTATGCACTACTTTATGAAGCTGTAGTGCATAAATATAACTCTTTAATTAGTAGGAAAAGGTAGTCTCTGTCAAAAATCGTGGTCGGACTTGCCGAGATGAAAGCGCTCTGGCGGATGGTTGGCTACCTACTCCCATTTTTCTTTCGTCTGGCTGACTGGTTTGCTACCATTAAGGGAATTGGTGGCTGTGACTACCAGCTCAGAATCTTGCAAACTATTCCTTATTGTTTGCTTGCCTAGGGACTATAGATAGGATCATATCGGTGAAGGATTTAATTTTAAGGGCTCTGAAGCAAGTGTTTTCAAGTATAAGAGCTGTGCCCTATAACGCGATTCGAGCATTTCGCTTACAGATCCCTCATTTCATTATGTATCAAGTAGCCCATCATCTTTATTATTAGGGGCGCTCATATATAATTTACATAGAAATCACAGAATGCTCCTGCTCTATGAAATTTACACCAGCATTTAACTACTGAACACATCACACCCTTAACAAATGACCGGTTTTTCACTTTCGGCATGACTTGTCACTTTACCGACGCACGACATGGGCGGACTCCTATATGTTTGTCATCACGCGTGCTGACTTCCAACTTCTGCCCGTCGGTATCATCGGCATTGCAACATCAGATCACCGGCATTTTCAGGGGATTTGTAGGGTATACAAAGCAGGGTATACAAAATAGGGTATATCATTACTACAAAACACTGAACCATACAGCCCAATTTACGACATGACGGTGCATAATGAGCAGACGTAATCACCAAGCAAACATTATATGCATGAGCTATAAAGATTGCGAGCTAAAAATGAGCATTGCAATCTCACAAGGATTGCGCATTGAAATAATAAACCCAAGAGAGGGACATCCACGTCACTAACATTCCCCTATAGAATTGCATTACAGTTTAGGCTTAGAGACAAGGATAAACGGACGTCTGAGTGTTATCAGTGGAGTCGATAACACGTAAAGAAGGACCAACTTTGAGTAGCCAGTAATGAGCTACCAACGGAAGCTCTTTAGGTATTAGTGCTACAATTAAAAAAAATATATGAGAAGGATCTAGAAATTTTATTTGAACAACAGTAATCAATACTGATAAGGCGAACAGTGTATATAAAATACTAATAACTAAAGTATTCATCCGCGCATTGTTCATAACAAAAGGCTTAAAAATAGAGCACGAATTTTCGCTTCCGGTAAAAGTTACGTCTCACTAGACAAGTACGTTACAAGGCAAGTATAAATGCATACTAACTTAACTTCGAGTTCATGACAGCATTGATAAATAACAGCAAAGAAGCTTTATAATATAATGTGGATTGTATCCTTTGCGGCATAACGAAGAAGAAAAAGAATATACATCTTACAAAGCATCAAACCTACCATAATGCGCGTACCTCTGGCAACCATGCTGCCCGTACCGCTGGCAACATAATGCCCGTGCCTCTGGCAGCCATAATGCCCGTACCTCTGGCAGCCATAATGCCCGTACCTCTGGCAGCCATAATGCCCGTACCTCTGGCAGCCATAATGCCCGTACCTCTGGCAGCCATAATGCTCGTACCTCTGGCAGCCATAATGCTCGTACCTCTGGCAGCCATAATGCTCGTACGTTTAGCAAAACGGAGGATGGCTTGCTGCAGCTCGCTGGCTTGCTGCAGCTCGCTGNTATCAATAAAGGTGACCAAATTATATCATTCAGAAATACTTTAATTTAGTAGTTAATTAAATTGCATTTAGTAATTGCTAGTTGTGCTTTGCTTGGTCTAGTAAGCTTTCCACGAGAGCACTGAGCAAGTCCTTCGAAACATGTGATGGGATTAGGAGTATTATAATTGTTCAAGATTACCAAATGAATTAATAGAGAAATTCTCATGAACAAAACATCTGAAGCATTTCATTGAACCATTATTAACTCAGCTAGTATTGTTTTAATCCATTGTCATTTAAAGACCACACTATACAAGATTCTAAACAATGAAACTTAATTTCGAGAAGATCGAATGCTTTTTTTCACCTTAAACTTAACTAATTAAAGCAAAAGCTTGCATAGTTGACTTTCAAGGTATTTATATAGGTAGCCATCTGAAAAAATTGTCAGTTATTTCTCATGATTTTTTAAGAAAGAATTCATAACTTTGAAATTTAAACCTAATCTCATCTTTTACAATTGTAAATATCAAACAGATTTTCTGTCATTCATTTATATACCTATATAGAAGAAAAAACACTAAGAAAATCGTTCATAAAAGTGTTTTCTGGTCTTCAATTAAGCCTGCAAATATATATCTGAATATATATATATTGCTAGTAGTTCATAACTAAGATACGAAATCGTGCAAAATTTTGAAAAATTTCAAAAATATCTCATTGCATTACCAAAATAACTCATTTTACAAATATCCTCTCAAATGAAACATCTTGGGAGATAAATTGAAAAATAAAAACGGGTAAAGCAATGCACACTAACTTAATTATCATCACAGCACACTTATTTAATTATCAATTTCAATTACTTAATTATAATCAATATCATTTTGCAAGGCATCATAATATAATAACTCATTAATTTGAATATCATCAGGTTTAGAGACACTTCAACATTAAATTCAGCAACTGTTCACTTAAGCAAAATATCCAGCAGAAATACTTGATCTAAAGTACCAACATACAATTTTTAGTCTGTCAAAATGCACAGCTTAATGTCTTTGGCCCATAACTTTTTTCCAGGCTTAACATTCAACAACTTGACATCCACAAATTTATCTTCAAGGATATAGTTTTTCAGGCCTCCAACAAAGTCTGTTAAAATCATCATTTCCAGCTGACGCTTCAGAAAGATCCCCAGCAACATTCGATTTCTCACCCAAATCAAAATTGTTGCTTATCTCCTTCATCACTATGTATAATTTTTTTCTTACTTAGGTTCATTCCTAGCAGCTGCCATTCCTTGCCATTTCAGCTTTTTCATGTCTCTTTTACTTAACATAACATAGTGATCTCGGCCCTGCAGTGCAGGCCTGATGTGGCCTGCCACCGATTCTTTTCCTTTTCGTGCCTTGTTCACAGAAGATCTAAAATCGTGTCATTTGAC